CTGTGTGGAAGAAGAGCCCTTTGTTAGTCACTTCAGATCTTGCAGAGGAAGAAACTCTGCCTTAGCAATAGATCTGATTTACCCATAAAACAGATCTTACAAGGTGTGTCTGTTCAGGCTTATAGTGGAAACATGGTTGCAGCCTTAACTAAGGAGTAACTGCTTTTGTTGTCATATATGTAGGACCCTACCTAATTTGCAGTGTTATGATTTTTGTGGAAACTGGAAATTTGGACAAGCTCCATGAAAAATGATGGGCTTGCTGCAAACCCCCCCCCCCCCCCAACCCACAACAAAACCCAGAAACAAACAAACAAAAAACCCCAAATAAAAACGTACTGAAAATAAAATGCTGGCTCCCCAGAGGGAGTTAGCAGTCTTCATGGCACTGTGGCCCAACTGTGCAGCCTGGTGGGGAAGGGGGCTGTTGGCAATGTGGCTGCCACCTCCCCTGCCCCTTTCTGCTGGTTGGCTGAGAGGGCTGCCTGTTGTGTGGCTGCACCCTTCTACACCAATTGGCCATGAGGGGTGGGACCATATGACACAGCCCTCACAACCAATCAGCGGTTAGAGGCAGGGCTGCCAGGACCCTTCAGCCAGTCAGAGGTGAGGGGAGGAGGTGTTGCACTCAGCCTGTGAAAACGGTGGCTGGATCTGCCCGCAAAATCAGCGGGCCGCCTCTGAGTTAGGTGGACCCCTACATATATATTATCAGTGTTGGTTAGGTTTCTCCTGGATTCATAGCCAGTCTAAGTGATAGAGGTTGGTCTCTGCTGAGATCAGTCTTCTGAGGACCTAAACAATCTCAAAACCAGAGGGCATAACTTGGCCCTTGGTCATTCAGACTTCTGACTGTTTTTGCCTTTAGACTAACAGAGCTCCAACCTACATCACTGACCCAAATCACTTAACATCCAGCACCGTTTTTTCAGTGGGATATCTAATTACTCAAGCTTACTTTCTCTCTCTCACTTTGAAAGACTTTCTTCAGTTCAGTTCTCCTTTTGGGATCATACTAGATGGGTCGAGCAAAACATCTAAATATTTGGGGGAATCTTCTAATGAATGATTATATTGCATGGGGAGTGAACTTGAAGAAAAAATAATAGTTGAAAATGGCATTTTAAAATTTTCCATATGATAATCCATTCAGGGATCTTGTAGTTTTATTTTAAAGCATTTAAGCTAAACCTCACAATACTAGGTGGATAGTATTGTTCCTCGCTATACAGATTGGAGGAACGGAAGCTCCAGGAGTCGCAACTTGCCCAAGGTCACACAGTCAGTTGTGGAACAGTGTAAGGAAGTCTAATGGCGGCAAAAGATAGTGAGTCACTTTCAGAAGAATGTGTTACATAAACAGTTGACACTGTGTCAACATCTGTCTGCCCTCTCTTTTAATGTAGAGGTCATGGCTTCGAAGATACAGGATTTGTGTTGGTAAGGGTTCTGTGCATCCTGGATACAAAGCTTGCATAGTTCATGGCTTAGTACGTGTTGAGAAAATACTTGAAGCTGTAATTACTGAAACTACTGTTCTCTTTCTCTCATCAGGAAGGATTTACTTTTTAGGAGAGCAAACCTTACTGCCTATTTGTTTTAGGATTTTGGTGTGGGGTGGGTGGGTGGGTGGGGGTGTGTGTGTGTGTGTGTGTGTGTGTGTGTGTGTG